CAAGGAGAACAAGGATAAGGATGAGTCCGTTGAGGGATCTGGTGAAGCTCCCAAGAGCTCTATTGGGGGTATCCCTAAGGTGCGAAGACCCTCCAACTTTATTCCCAGTATCCCATAATCATTGTTCAAGGTGTTCCCAAAGCTTCCCAAGGCTCCAATAGTTCAGCCGCAATCCCTCCGAAGTAGAGAGGCTATTGTTATCGATGACGCACCAACACTGCCGCAAATTCCGACTGCTCCAGAGGTACCTTACTTCCAAATCTCTTATTTTTCCAGGAAAGGCAAAATGTTTTTCAAGGTCCCCGAAGGTGGATTTTTGCCAGCTGACATTCGGCGGTCACCACAGTCAGTGTCAAATGTTGCTTCTTCTCTGGATGATGACGTAGATGGACTGAATGATGATGACGAGGTGTGGTAAAAATCAACCCTTTCCCTTTGGTTGAATAAAATTCTACCTGTTTTCAGTTCGGAGGACTTTCGGAGGAGACGTCTTCATCTTCCGGTGGTCTCATTGGAACTATCTTCAACCTAATCAGCATGGGACAGAAGAAAGCCACCGAAGCCAAGAATGGAGGAACTCCAGATGTGAGTCGAATTTCACTGAAGGAAGTGAGAGCACGCTAGATATAGCAGTTCCAGGATAAGAATGCACTTGGAAAAGCCGTTTCAAGTTTGATCGGTGGCGAGAACAGTCCATTACCAGGCAAGAACATGATCTCAAATGTTTTGTACAAGGCGCTTACGTCCAACAGTTTGCAAGTGAGTTATACCTTTATGTGTCTTTGTTTTTTTGAAGTGAATTTTTTATGATTTTAGTCTAATGACACGGGATCTGACAACGATCCTCCTCCACTTACCAACCTCACCCTCACCCCAGCACAATCAGCGGCCATCACTGAGAACTTGGAGATGGTCCAAAACTTCATTATCCAGCCATCTTCACCCCTCTGCACGCACAAACCCGAACCAGTCGGTTTCGAACTACAGTCATTCATGGGACAATGGTACCAGGTAAGACTTCCGGAATAGTTGTCCTTACCTTTTTGATCGATTCGCTTCTATGATGACCGCTAAATCGACCTCGCTAAAAGCGCTCTCGACCCGGCCAAGGCTATTCATTGCTTTACATTGCTCGGCCGCAGCCATGTGGTTTTGCGCATTTCATCTATTTGTTTACCGTGTTTATCAGAAAAAAATCATTTCCTGGTTCTCCTGTTGTTACTTCATTTTGCGCCATTTCTTCCCATTCAGGTAGTCTACAGCCCTCCGTTGTCCTCTGGACAATGTAGCATGGTTGCTTACAAAAAACTGAATGACGTCAATAATGGAGGTAAATTTTTTTCGTGAGCATTTTTACGGATAAAATGCGTTTATTCTAGGACCAGGGTCAATTTTCGAGATCTTCGAGTACACTACTGACGGCACACCGTACGGAAAACCAAAGATCAGCTCTGGCTATGCGATGATCAAATCCCCAGGAGAGCTCATCTACAGGACAACCTCGAATCAGGAAGACGTCAATGGTAAGCTGTAGTAAAAGCCGTGAGAAGTTCAAGATTTTGCCGCATATGTTAACATGAAGTAGATATTTAGTAAAGTTATAGTCCCCCCCC